AGACCTCTCTCTCTTACCGCATCACAGTTTTCTCTTCTCCTTCAACGGATCATGCTCTGTGTTTATTTGCTTGAGTTAATATTTAGCTTAAAATAACGGTTTTTCAATGTTTCGTTGGACTATTTCTTACATAGATATGTTGTGAGAAAGCCGAATGGAGGATCTAATGCTAAAGAATCGTATATGTTATATAGAGAAGTTTACGTATTGAAGTAAAAATATAATATTGAGGATATACGACTACCTCATATATATATATGTTTGCTATTATATAGTTTTGCATAAATTTATGCAAAAATCATTAAACAAAATTAAATATATTTTGTAATACATTGTAATTATTCCTAAACATGCAATACCTAAATCTTTTTATTTAATACGTGCCGTGACAGCTGGTGGAGACATTAACTACCTAGCTATTTGCAATGATAATACTGTGCAAGATATTTGCATTCTAAAACTCTTTCAAATTTCTATAATAACGTCTCCTATATACCACACAGAATATTAAAATCACAACTTATCCCAAAAATGTTATTTGGAAAATAAACAAACAAGGAGAATAATATGTTGTATTTTGCTTCATATCTTTAAAGATAAGAAAAAATATAGAATATATACAGAAAGGTTGACAAAACTTTTTAAACTTTATTCAAATTCCAGTGAAGTATTTTTACATTAATTTTTCAGAGTCTTTTAACAAACTAATAGCTTCCTTTTATTAATACATAGGAATGATTTGAGGAAATAATTTTTCTCAAGTTTGCGTTTACAATCCATTTCATGATGATTTATGGATGCCGATTCAAATTTCTCTTTTTACAAACTTTTCCAAAAGAGAGGCCATTGTTAAGCTGAAATACAGAATCAAGCAAGTCAAGATTTTGTTTTTCCCTTCCAATTACTACTCCGTAATGATTGGCTAAGAAAAAAACGTTAACAGGAACACTATACTTGTGTGGCATTGTAATGAAGATTTTTTTGCGAGAGTTTCAGTTTAAGAATTTGCTAAGAGGTCACCGAATTAATAGAAAAATTGCAGTGTTAAGTTTAACAAGCCATTGTTTTTGGATTGGCGTGTTATTCAGCTTTTACAAAAACAATATTACGCATTTTGTAAACGTATAAACATACATACAATTTAAGGGCAATAATGAGTCCGTTGATCCATCTAGGGCCGTCCTATCCACTAAACTAAACTTTACAAATAAAGCACTTAAAGCCAGCCCTTATCATTCAAATACTTATTAAGTATTCCCTTGAACTCCCTTAAATTAACTGCATCCACCATATCTGAAGGCAATCCATTTCAAAGGCTAACCACCCTATTAGAAGTATAAAACTCTCTTAGGTGAAGATGATTGCTACCAGACCAAAATGTATATTTGTTTCCCTAGTCTAATCATTTTCACCATTAAGTATGAAAGAAGATTCTTAGGTGAAGATGATTGCTACCAGACCAAAATGTATATTTGTTTCCCTAGTCTAACCATTTTCACCATTAAGTATGAAAGAAGATTCTTAGGTGAAGATGATTGCTACCAGACCAAAATGTATATTTGTTCCCCTAGTCTAACCATTTTCACCATTAAGTATGAAAGAAGATTCTTAGGTGAAGATGATTGCTACCAGGCCAAAATGTATATTTGTTCCCCTAGTCTACCATTTGCACCATTAAGCATGAAAGAAGATTCTTAGGTGAAGATGATTGCTACCAGACCAAAATGTATATTTGTTCCCCTAGTCTAACCATTTTCACCATTAAGTATGAAAGAAGATTCTAAGGTGAAGATGATTGCTACCAGACCAAAATGTATATTTGTTCCCCTTGTCTAACCATTTTCACCATTAAGTATGAAAGAAGATTCTAAGGTGAAGATGATTACTACCAGACCAAAATGTATATTTGTTCCCCTTGTCTAACCATTTTCACCATTAAGTGTGAAAGAATATGACGCATTAATACTATCGATTCCTTTAAGAATCGTAAACAACTCAATCAAATCCGCCCTCATGCTTCTTATTTTATAAAGTTAAAACAATATCAGATATTTTAACCTGTCCTCGTATGACAACCTTTCTATTCCACGTATCGTCCTTGTAGCATTCTTCCGAACCCTTTCCAGCATTTCAATGCCCTTCCTAAGACAATACTCCAAATGTGGCTTAACCAGTGACGTATACAATGCAATTATAACCTCTTAAGACTTGTAATCAGTACTTTTGTAGATACAATATAAAATCCTATTTTCCCTGCCACTAGCAACAGCGCATTGCTTGTATGGCTTGAAAGACTGATAAACTAGGACATCAAAATCCTTTTCTTCCATATCACTGTTAAGTATGTTAAATATACTCATAATTCAAATTATGATGTCTTACATGCATAATATAGAACATGTTATGCATTTAAAAAACAACAACTTTTAATATAAATTTTAGGACTTTTTTATAGTATTCTGCGTTAAATAAAGTTTAAACCTGTCGAGATATGTCTTTGCGTTGAACAGTAAGTAATAATTCTGCTTATGATTTTCTGAAGCATTTCGCGAATGCAACGTGCGGTTGTAAAACAAAATGTATTTGCTACTTTTGAAAAGAGTTTAGAGGACACTTTTAACGCAGTTTTGTGTTTAAGCTGTTTGAAAAATTAAGGCTGTACCACGAAACCTCATCAAAATGAAGCTCCCAGGCGGATTAGTGGCAAGTTTACGGACTTATAATGCTAAAATCCGGGGTTCGACTCGTCGCGGTGGACAGAGCGCAGATAGCGTATTATACAGCTCAACGTAAAAACACAACAAAATAAAAAGTGTGAGATAGAGATATAAATTATAGTTAAAGTACTTTAGGCATGTTTGTCGTCTCTTTTGTGTCGTTTTGCAACTGAACCTCTGTCGCGGATCAAACTGCTTAAAACTCTTTTCTGCCATGTTACGTTGGAAATACTAAACATTTAATTCGACTAAGAAGGAAATAAAAATTATATATATATATATAAATTGTAGAGAGCTAACTATCCCCACTGACTTAGCAAAAAACTAAAATTCGGGGTTCGATCCCACTGCACAAGATATTACGAACATAGCCCGTTCTGTAGCTTTGCTTCGAAAAAATAGGTAAACAACCGAAATAAATTAGTTTTTTAACACTACAACAAATTATGTTAATTGTTATCTACGCATTAGATAGTTTGATACAGTTGGTTTGACCTGAATAACACAAGATCCGTCAACTTTATGTTCACTAATTAGCTCCTATTGAAAATGTTGGATGGTTGTGCAGAGTGTAAAAAACATGAGAATTTAACATTTATAAATATTACATCATACTCACAATTTTACATTACAGACACAAACTGAAAGAGAATGACAATTTTAATTATAGTGTGGCTATAAAGAATGTGATTTATTTTATGAATTAATGTAATATAACCATGATTTTATAATGAAAATTGCTATTTGTTTTGGTCAATTTTAACTATAGTTTGGCTATAAAGAATGTGATTTATTTTATGAATTAATGTAATATAACCATGATTTTATAATGAAAATTGCTATTTGTTTTGGTCAATTTTAACTCTAGTTTGGCTATAAAGAATGTGATTTATTTTATGAATTAATGTAATATAAC